TTGCAATATATTATTTTTTTATTATTTGTTTCTTTAATAATGCGTCATGGATTTGGCCAACTGCATTTACTGTCTTAGACACAGCTCTTTTATTATTATTATTGAATTTTTATTTATTTTCTTATATCTGGCTTTACTGGATGGCTTGGAGCCTATTCATTTATATATCTACTTATATGTTGTAAATAGTTATTATACACAGTCTACAGAGCTCCGGTAGTTGTTCTCTAATCGTGAGTCTTGAACTTTCAATGTGGCTCCAGTTGGAGTCAGCACAGAGGCCTACCTTGTTTGTTGTGGACCCTGAATGTGCAAGGGTGTGGGTGGGTTTTGCTGGTGTTCTGTATGTTCTGTGCAATTTTTATATATTTAATTATTTTGTTTTGTTTTTTGTTGTTTCGTTCAAGGCTTTTTTTGTTTCTTTCTTTTTTTTCTTTTTTTCTTATTCTTGGAGGTTTGCAAATGTATTTCCTTACTGTCAAACAGGCTTAAACACTATAATAGATGGCGGGGTCGGTGATTGATGGAGGGAATTCCAGGGGTTCTTCAGTTAGGTTTCTAAGCTGGAATGTTAAGGGTATCTGTAATCTGGTTATTTCTTAATAGTGATATTGTTTTATTGCAGGACACCCATTTGAGAAATGTAGATCACATTAAAATGAGGTGTTCATGGGTGGGTGAGTTTTTTCACTGAAATTTTAACTCTAGATCCAAAGGTGTGGCAGTGCTATTTCACAAAAGAGTGCAACTTTCTTTTACTAAAGTGATAGCTGATAGCAATGGTCGATTTTTGATTATAGTAGGCTCACTATATCAGAATCCTGTTCTGTTAGTTAATGTTTATGCACCTAACTTTGATGACCCAAATTTCATAAACAAATTATTTGAACCACTCCCCTTATTAAATACACACAAATTGATTTTTGCCACTGATCTTAATTGTGTGATTGATCCTGTGTTGGATCGTTCAAATCCTCGAGTATTGACTCCAACTTCTACATCCAAAGCTGAGTCAGAATTTATGGCATGTAATGGATGTATAGATCCATAGAGATTTTTCAATAGTCAGGCAAAAGTTTTTTTCGTTTTTTTCCCCAGTTCACCATTCATATTCCCGTATTGATTACTTTTTTATAGATAGCATTTTCACTCCTAAAGTTAATTCAGTTCAGTATCATGCCATTTTTATTTCTGACCACGCCCCCCTCAGTGTTGACCTTCAACTGTCTACACAACCTAATTGTTTATCACCATGAAGGTTTAATTCCCTTCTATTGTCTGACAATGATTTTATTGAGTTTATTTCTTCATCAAGTGATATTTATTTGGCTACAAATCAAGACAGTGAGACATCTTATTCACTGTTGTGGGAAGCCCTTAAGGCATTTATACAGGGTCAAATTATATCATATTCTGCACAGCTTAACAAATCTCGCTCTGCTAATTTGCTAGAGCTGTAAAAAAATTTGTAATATTGACCAACAGTTATCGATAAATCCATCTCCAGATCTCTTTAAACAGCATATGGATCTTCATGTTGAGCTTGATCTTATTGCAACAACCAACACAGAACGTTTATTGTTGCACTCTCGCAGCTCATATTATGAATATGGTGAAAAAGCTAGCCGACTGTTAGCACACTAACTAAGACGGAGGTCAGCCTCATGCCATATTTTGCAGATCAACAATCATTCTGGCAAATTGATTTCTGATCCATGTGGTATTAATGACACCTTTATGTCTTTTTACTCCGATTTATACTCATCTGAATTTCCTTTAGATACCAGTGTAATGACTGCTTTCTTAGATAATTTGGAAGCCCCTATTATTGATTCAGTTGTCTCCAATAATCTTGACGCCCCATTATGTATTGAAGAGATAACACAGGCAATCCCACTGATGCAAAATAATAAAGCTCCTGGTCCAGACGGCTTCCCCATAGAGTTTCTAAAGAAATTTCAAGATAAATTGGCTCCAATACTCTTATCTGTTTTTTCTGAGTCATTGGAACGGGTATCTTTGCCTGAGATGATAATTCAAGCTTCCAATATATTACTTTTAAAAAGGGAAAAAGATCCCACCTCTTGTAGCTCCTATAAGCCCCTTTCATTATTGAATGATGATGCAAAAAGTTTTGGCTATCCGTGTGGAAAATATACTCCCACAATAAATATCTGAAGAGCAAACAGGTTTTATTAAAGGGAGACATTTGTTTTTTAATGTTCGTACTCTTTTGAATAATATATATTCCAAACATTCTTGTGCTGTCCCTGAGGTTGTTCTTGCTCTTGATGCTGAAAAAGCATTTGACAGAGTTGAATGGCCCTACCTCTTTGCTGTACTCAAAAAATTTGGGTTTGGGAACACGTTTATTTCATGGATTCATCTCTTATATGCTCACTCCCAGGCCAGTGTACACACAAATGGTATACATTCACAATATTTTAAATTAGGAAGAGGTACACGGCAGGGATGCCCACTCTCCCCTCTGATATTCACCCTGGCGATTGAGCCACTGTCAATTGCCTTACAATCCTCTGTTTCTTTTAAAGGAATCTCCCGTTCTAATATTGAAACTAAACTATCACTTTATGCTGATGATTTGTTATTATATGTCTCAAACCCAATCACCTTTCTATCATTTCCATTTTCAACAAATTCGGATCATTTTCTGGTTATAAAATAAATTTTAAGAAGAGTGAGTGTTTCCCTGTTAATGATTTAGCCCTGCAACTTAAAGACTCTGAGGTTTCATATAGGCTGTGTAAATCTGGTTATTATACCCCTTTATTGGCTCAAACCAAATCTGACTTCTAAAGGTGGCAGAATCTTCCTTTATCATTAATTGGAAGGATTAATACAGTGAAAATGAATGTTCTTCCTAAATTTTTATTATTATTTCAATGTATTCCATTGTTTTTGCCAAATAGCTTTTTTAAGTCTGTTGACCAAATTGTTACCCCTATTCTATGGAATGGTAAAGTACCTAGAGTTCGTAAAGTTCTGCTTGAAAATTGCAAATTGAGTGGGGGGTTATCTCTACCAAACTTTAAGTTTTACTTCTGGTCTGTTAATATTTATAAGACTATGTTTTGGTTCAACTCCTGTAACGCTCCCTGGTGCAAATTAGAGGCAACATCATGTCTTTCCACTTCGTTACAGGCCTTACTTACTGCCGCTTTACCTATTAATCCCTCCATGTATACAGATAATATAGTAGTCTCATCAACTCTCAGGATTTGGTCTCAATTTAGGCGGCATTTTAAGTTTACCTCTGCCTCCTCATTAATGCCACTATCCATGAATCACTTGTTTCCTCCAACGGTCACTGACCCTGCGTTTTTGGTGTGGCGAGACTTACTATATTTCAGAGATTTGTATAGGGTATCTTCTGCTCTTATACAATGTTATCTTCTGAATTAGAACTCGCACCTTCACATCTTTTCCGTTATTTACAAACAAGGCACTGCGCTGGTTCTTTATTCCCTAATTTTCCCTGCCTACCACCAAAGTTGGTATGGGAGGATTTTCTTACATATAATATTTCTGAAAAGGTACCAGAACTTATTGTAAGCGATCTGATTGGCTGACACTTCCGTCGATGCTTGAAAAGTTGAGCTAGTCCCAAGCAGTGCTGACAGACCCACAATGCAGTTCAGCAACGCTTGACGTCACCGATTCAAAGTGAATGGGAAGCATTGATGCTGACACCCTGTGTGAATGGGGCATGAATCTGCATCTCATTTTGTCTGCTATTCTGGCTGCAGACCTGATCCAGATGCAATCTGAGCTGCATGCAATGCTTTTGAATAGGCTCACCTAACTCCACCCTAAACTCTATTGTGGAAGATAGTAGCATCTGTGTGCAAGTCCAATATGAACAAAGTATATCTGATGTTGTGCTGCTTCTTCTTTTGTTTAAAAGTAACTGTGTAATTTCTAATGCAGTGAAAATCTGTTTGCTAATTGTACACACATGAACACATTAGAACACTGAATGACTTTGTTTCTGTGAGCTAAGCTAAAACTTCCATATTTTTACAAAAAATTCTTGGCAACGACTGCCGGTCTTTTTCCGTAAATTTAACAGATTTTTTTTTAACAGTGTAAACAAATTTTGTAGTGTTGATTGAACTAAACAACTTTATCTTTATGTAACTAACTTAAGTTTACTCAAATAAATATTCTTTCTTTAAGGTAACTTTACTTGGTTACGTGGAACCTGTTGACATAAAAAAATTAATTAAAGCCAACAAATCATTTTTTTTTTGAGTGTACCCCTCACGGTGACATCACTAGCTCCATTGAGTGCATTGTGTCTGACATTGTATTGCTGAGAGATCTTAGCATGCATCAAAAAGGTTGCATCCAGATACTATTGGTTTTGACAGCCTTCCTGACTTAATGAATCAAATATGCAGTTTTTCACTAAGGAAACCTGGGGTGTTGAACCACAGTAATGGCTAAACTGGCATTGGGTGGGTTAAATGACCAAAACAAAGACAGATGTTCCGGCACATTACAGCATTTTCAAAGCAAATAATCTGACATCAGCATTTGTTTTTCAGACAAACAAGAATGTTTACTTACCATTTTTCTTAAATATCTGCAAACATATTATTGTATTTTTATGCTTTAGAGGAGCCAAAAACTCACATACAGCACCCTTAATCTCTACTTTTGCCCAGAAAACTATGAAAACTGTGAAAAATGAAACAATAAATAAATATTTAAAGTAATTTGACATATGGCTTAAAGTCAAAAGTAGCCTACATTTTATGCACGTTGCAAAAAAACTTATAAAATATGAGATTATAAAAATATAAGAGCAAATAATAAAATTAACAAATAAAAATAATATATATAAATCTAATATATATTGCTGACAAACGGTAAAAAAGTACCATTTAACATTTGTATATATTATTATTATATATATATACACATTTTTTAAATACACATGTTTTATTTTTTTGCCAAAAAGATCTAAGGGTCCTTACCAGTCCCTCCTCTCCAGGCCCCAAAGATGTGACAGCCAGGTCATTGCCACTTTCATCATAGGCATTTATATCAATACCCCAGTTTGTATGTGGCTGCTTGAACCAGTTCTGCAACACATGTTTGAAGTCAATGCTCTGCCAGTGACCTGCTTGAGAATCAAGCTCAATCTTGAGTGATCGGATACGTATATGTCGGCTTCCCTGCTCAGTGATAGGTTTAAGACGCAGGATCTGCAGGTAAACAGTGGACGTTTGTTTTAGTGGCTGCAGATAAACCCAAAGCTGCGCCTTCAGGACCTTGGTAAACATCAGTTTTGGACTAAACTTGAAGAAACAACAGGTCGGTTTCCCATCCACCTGCACCAGAGGTTCAGCTAAGGAAAAAGAAACAGATAAAATACTATTAATAACTGAAATTATTTTTAGGTTGTTCAAGTTATAAGTTACAAGGTAAACTAAATAAATTATCCATAATAAATAGAAATAGTATGAAACACCAATTCTAAAGAAGACAGTTGATGCCTTAAAGTTGACCTTTGCCAAACAAATGTTATACAACACAAGCGTAAAAACACAAACACATTGGTGCACATTAAAATTGAGCACTATTGTCGTGTATACCATGGCAAAGTGTTTTTCAGTTCTTCTTCTTTTTTTTTATATAGTGTAAGCGGTTTACAAGAATACTTCATTAATTCATGCACATTCATGCACAAAAATCTTAAATCAAGATTTCAATATCAGAATTTGCCCCCAGGATTTTGTCCTGGAGGAATCTAATTGCATTTTACTAACTAAAATGATCTGTCAGTTGTATCTGTCGTAGTTAAAATATTGTTAAAGAAAATTAAAAACATTGTAATGTCAATTACACTCAAATTTCATACAAGGTTATATTCAACATATTTCAAATGCTCTAAACAGTGATGTTATCAGCAATTAGATCTTGTAATACAGTGGGGTGGTGCTGCGGATGCTGCAGCATGCAGCTACTGTGTGGGCATGTTTAAATGTCCATTTGCTGCTAGTCTTTCTTTTAAATAAAAAAGTAAACTACCTGAGCAATATTTTCCCTAAAGTAAATGGAGAAAATGGGAGTAATTGTGTTATGGACCCCGATTCGCCCAGGTATATTAGTCAATATTCCCAGGAATTTTTTTTTACCATGGTACGAGGAGCCAAATAACACCCGCTTCGGATGTTATCACTTGATTGAATAGGCATTATCAGTGGTCATCAGCTGATAGATATGGGCCAGTTGGGGCCTTCTGTGCCTACAGGTAGGCTCAGAAGGCTGTTATCATCCCATTAATCAGCTGACAAAAAAGAGAACTTTGATTTATGATTATTATTCTGTGCAATTACTTTTGGTCCCTTGACAAGTGGGAGGCACACATGCAAACTAATGTAATTCCTACAGCGTTCATCTGATTTGGGTGTGAATACCCTCAAATGAAAGCTAACAGTCTGCAGTTAAAGTATATCTCGTTCATTTGCTCTGGTGCATAGAGGCAAAAATGTCAGAATTGTGTCGATGTCCCAATATTTATGGACCTAACTGTAAATAACTGAAAAGTTATATTCTTTAGGTTTTAGAATTGTCACTACACTCAAAACTATAGCAGGATAAGTGTTGGAGGCATTTTAATCTTTTTCTGTGGGAGTGTGGGACAAAGACTCAAACGGCTGAATTGAATTAACACCTATGCATCTGAATAAGCACTGTTATCCTACACTGTTAAAAATTGTCCTGTTAACTAACCGATAACCACCGGTAAGTTACTGGCAGCACAGTTGCCAGCAAGTTACTGTTAAAATAACAGTATTTTAACAGTAAATTAACAGTAAAATGCTGGCAGCTACAGTTGTCAGCAATGTACTGTTATTTTACCATATTTTGCTGTAAAAATACATGGACTACATTTATATAAACAATACTCAAGTGAACTCATTTTCTTTACTGAAAGCGACTGCCTCAAATTAGCCAACTGCTGTATGAGTTTATGAAGTAATGTGCTATTTACACCCATAATGTTTGACCCAAATGTCTTAAATTTCACAGCAGCAATCATACATGTAAAGCTAGAATTAACACAGAGAGATTCTTACACTGCATCAGCAACTAAATAGCCACTGTCTTTAAGTAAAGAAACATGCAGAATAACATCAACAGTAAATTGTTCATCTTTGATTCAAACACTGGCTCTACTCTCCTCCACAACGGTGACATACAGAAGAAATTTGTTTCAGATTTTACAGTAAAATACAGTTTGTTTGTTTTTTTACTGATTTTAGGGTAAACTACTGGCAGCTGTGGTTGCCAGCAATCTACTGTTTTTTACAGTCTACATCCATAGTTTAAATTAATATTATATTACTGTTAAATTATTTTTTACACCGTGTTTTTACCTCTCACACCTTTAACTCTTTAAACCCCAGAGTAAATACCTCAGTTTTAATTGAACACTTCCAAGTGTCCACACTACTGAGTGTTCAAGAAACATGAAGCAAAGCTGAAGTAAATGAATTAATTAAATGACTAATTAAATGATAATTGAGGATTAGCGATAAACACAGGAAGATTTACTCAAGGTAAAAAACAAGAACAGAACATACAAAAAACCACGACTTCAGTTACAGCTTTGTAATGAAATAACCTGAAGTACAACAAATAATTAAGTCATTAAATGTATCAGCAGATTATTACTAAAATGGTGATGCAGTGGCACAATGGATAGTGCTGTCGCCTCACAGCAAGAAGGTCACTGAGTCGCTGGTTCGAGCCACGGCTAAGTTGGCATTTCTGTGTGGACTTTGCATGTTCTCCCTGCATTCACGTGGGTTTCCTCTGGGTGCTCCGGTTTCATGTGGTTCAAAGACATGTGGTACAGGTAAATTGAGTAGGCTAAACTGTCCATAATGTATGAGTGTATGTGTGAATGAGTGTGTGTAGATGTTTCCCAGAGATGGGTTGCGGCTGGAAGGGCATCCCCTGTGTAAAAACATGCTAGATAAGTTGGCGGTTCATTCTGCTGTGGCCCCCGCAGAATAATAAAGGGACTAAGCCAACAAGAAAATGAATGAATGTTTAAAACTCCAAAAATATCATCACCAGCTACATTTATTACTAAAACGTTTATTTTTGTATAACATCTACTAATTGATTTTCGTGCTGGATGTACACACTACGCGTTACCTATGACAGACACAGACGACAGACAAATTGGCTCCCTCATTGCACATCGAAGACCGGGCTTTGAGTTCTTTCACGACGCTCTGTTTACAAACACAGCAACAGAGCCCTTTGTCTGGTTCACACAACGAAGCCACAAAGGAAACTCAGCCGGAAAAGAGGGAAGAGAGCCGGTGTCCTCGTCAGACTGAGACTCCGTGGATTTCAACTTCAGCTCCCCACCATTCTGCTAGCTAAAGTTCAGTCACTGGACAACAAAATTTGCAAGCTACGGGCGTGCATTTCCTTCCAACAGGAAACAAGAAACTGCTGCATTATCTGCCTTACAGAAACCTGGCTATCTGCGGAGGTACCACACACAGCTGTTGAACTTTCGTGGTTCTCCTTGCACCACACGGATAGAAAAAAAGAACTCACAGGGAAAAGCAAAAGAGGAGGTGTTTGTTTCTTTATTAACAACTCATGGTGTGATGAGAGAAAAATACAGCAAGTTAGATCATTTTGTTCTCCTGATCTGGAATATCTTATGCTTCGGTGTCAGCCATACTGGCTACCGAAAGAGTTCACAGCTGTTATAATTACGGCTGTCTACATCCCTCCTCAAGCCAACACAGAGCTCAGGTGCTCAGGGAACAGTACGGGAGCATAAGCGACCAGGAAACCGCACACCCGGAGGCAGCGTTTATTGATACAGAGGACTTTAACAATGCCAATCTTAGGTAAATCACTCCAAAGTGCTATCAACACATCACCACAAACACGCGTGGTGATTGGATTTTGGACCATTGCTATTCCCCGTTCCGGGAAACATACAAATCCCTCCCCCGCCCACCGTTTGGCAAATCAGATCACTCTTCTGTTCTGCTTTTGCCTGCTTACAGGCAGAAACTGAAGGGGGAACCACCCACCCTCAGGATGTTTCAGAGCTGGATGGACCAATCGGATTCCATACTTCAAGACTGTTTTGATCACATGGACTGGGATATGTTCCGGGCGGTGTGTGATGGTGACATTGACATTGATTTTGACACATTTTGATGCTGAACAGACACAGTTACAAGCTTCATCAGGAAATGCGAATGAGGCCGTGATCCCAACAAAACCTCAGGAAAACCATCAAAGCAGCAAAACGTCAATACAGAGACAAGGTAGAGGGTCAATTTAACATCCAATAACGCAAGGAGCATGTGGCAGGGACTTAATTACATCACAGACTTTAAAAGTAACAAACCCGCCACTGTAAACATTGCTGCGTCTCTCCCGGGCGAGCTTAACTCATTCTACGCCCGCTTTGAAGCCCAGGACAGCGCGCACACACTCCCGTGGCTGAAACCGCTAGCACTCTCTGTTTCTGTAGTGGACAGCTACGGGCCCAGATGGCATCCCTGGACGGGTACTTAAGGAATGCGCACACCAGCTAATGGGAGTTTTCACTGACATCTTTAACCTCTCGCTCTCTCAGTCTGTGGTTGCCACATGCTTTGAGACAGCTACTCTTGTGCCCATACTGAAATCAACTAAAACCCACACGCTTGAATGACTGGCGCCCAGTTGCTTTGACACCCATCTTCAGCAAGTGCTTTGAAAAGCTGATTAAAAGTCCCATCTGCTCTGTACTGCGCGCTCACACTGACCCTCTGAAATTTGCATAATCAGCATTCAACACCATAGTGCCTGCCAAGCTGGTGGAGGATCTGGGTCTACACAGCTCTCTGCGCAACTGGATCCTGGACTTCTTGTCAGGCAGACGCCAGGTGGTCACAATGAACAATATTACATCATCCACACTGATCCTCAACACTGATGCTCCACAGGGCTGTGTTCTCAGCCCACTCTTGTACTCCCTATACACACATGACTGTACAGCCAAACACAGCTCCAACTTTATCGTTAAATGATGACACAACGGTGGTGGGCCTAATCACCAATAATGATGAGACATCCTACAAAGAGGAGGTGCACACTCTGACACAGTGGTGTGAGGAAAACCACCTCTCACTCAACATTAGCAAAACCAAAGAGCAGGTGGTGGATTTCAGGAGAGAGAAGAGAGAACATACCCCCATCACCATCAACGGGACACAAGTGGAGAGAGTCAGCACTTTCAAGTTTCTTGGAGTACGCAGCGCTGAGGATTTGACATGGACTGCTCCCACAGACGCAGTGTTGAGGAAGGCACAA